CAAAACAAAGGCAAAGCACGAGCAATGCAAGGCAACGCAGTGCAGTGCAAAGCGATCCAAGGCACTGCAATGCAATGCGATTGCAGCGCAATGCGACTGCAATGCAATGCGACGCAACGCGGTTGCGAAGCAATGTGATTGCGACGCAAAGGGGGCGTGCAACGGAACGGCGGCGACGGACGGGAACGGGGCCGCCGGGCTCGCAGACGGGCCTATTCTTTGGAGAACTGGGGCGGCAACGGACGAGAAAGGGGCCGCTGGGCAAGCAGACGGGTCCAGTTCCATAGAAGAGAGACATGAGAGCCCCTGTGTGGAAACACTGCTCGGGGAACAAAGAGCAAGAGAGAGAGAGAGAGCGAGAGAGATGAAGAGATGTCCACGATGGACTCTGGCTGCAAAAGCGCGCTCGGACATGGCCGAGGTTTGGGCGCCCGAGTTATCCGGGGTAACTCGGGTCCGGGGTAACTCGGGTTTGGATTCCCGAAAAAGGAACCCGAGTTAGCCCTGACCCGAGTTACCCCTGATGATGTGGGGCTCTGGACGCCCGAGTTATCCGGGGTAACTCGGGTCCGGGGTAAGTCGGGTTCGGATTCCCGAAAAACGAACCCGAGTTAGCCCTAACCCGAGTTAGCCCTGATGACTCGGGGCTCTGAAGGTACCGTGATGCTCGGCACGGGCAGCCAGTGAGGCCACGGGCGCTGCAAGTACCGTCGGGTGCGTGGCCACGCTCGCGGAGCCGGCGGGCGCGCGAGGCTCGAGGAGGAGGAGGACGAGGAGCAGGAGCAGGAGGAGGAAGAAGAGCAGGAGTAGGAGGAGGAGGAAGAGGAGGAGCAGAAGGAGGAGGAGGAGGAGGAGGAGGAGGAGGAGGATGAAGAAGAACAGGAGTAGGAGGAGGAAGAGGAGGAGCAGAAGGAGGAGGAGGAGAGGAGGAGGAGGAGGAGGAGGAAGGGGAGGAGAGGAGGAGGAGGAGGAGGAGGAGGAGGAGGAGGAGGAGGAGGGCATTTGGCATTTCGGGGCGTCTGGGCGCGCGAGGAGCGCTGGAGGAACAGCCATGGCAGGAGCTTTTTTTGTTCGAGTCGGCGGCGCGGCCCCATGCGGACGCGGCTGTGGTCCCCACGTAGAACTCAAGC